ACATTTATCATTAAAGCAGAATAAAATCCTCCAAAGTGACGGTAAGTTATCACTAAAGATTGTAGCAAACACACCTCACAATCTGGAAGAAGATCAGCTCGCAGAGCATGTAGGAGGTAGCTCCGAAGAAACAATCCACGAATCGGATGCTGCACGCCGCGACACATTTCGACCAAGTCACGCATGATCTCTCTGCGAGGAAACTCCGAACACTTGATCAAGTAAACACCGACAGTGATCATGAGGTACCTGAGTTGAAAGCAGACCAAAGGATCACGAAACTTCCTCGTCATAGTGCGAAATAGTACTTACTGGTGAATGGGCAGTAATTAGGACAGAAAATGTGAACAATGATGAATGAATAAATAAAAGAAATAAAACGTTTTGTGTTTTGTGTTACCAGTCTGGTGGGGGGATGCAAGCGAACTAGAGAGAGATGAACTTTCGTGCGCCGGTTTTGGTTGCCCATTTGGATAAAACAGTAGAATAATGATCAGAATGTTGAGAGCAGATTCAAGCGGAAGATAAGACATTTTCATAGACTAAAGTTACAAGAATAATGAGTAAATGCATGAGCGCCACTGTTTCCGACACCCAGCCATATCACTCAATGTCTCTAACCATCGGATATGATCATCCCAAGGTCCCCATCCAGGGAGCCTAACGGGACCTATGTGACCTAGACTCCTGGTTAGAGTTTCCATATCCTCATGCCAGGTCTCCGTTTGACCACCGTTGATTTTTTCCAACCGCTACCTGCCTCGCCAAGCATCGCTCGCTGTGGCAACCTATCTGGTGACATGCGCAACATATGTCCCAATCAGCGTAATCTATGGAGGTCGACTACCTGTTCCAGTGGACGACCGCGGTTACCTAAAACTCTACGCCTAACCTCAGTATTGCTCGTCCGGTTTCCCCATCAGACTCGTGCAATGCTACGTAGACAGCGGTGTTCGAACACCGACAGTCTATTCCTATCTTGTTCCCGTAATGGCCAAGTTTCTGCACCGTAAAGCAGAACTGGCCGAACTACTGCAACATATACTCGACCCTTCACAGACAACCGGATGTCGCGACGGCGCCACAGATGTCTCAAGTTGGCAAATGCCAACCGAGCTTTTCTGGCGCGCGCCGACACTTCATCTGTGATGCGTCCGCCGGGTGAGATATAGCTGCCTAGATAGCTGCGCCGACACTTCATCCGTGATGCGTCCATCGGGTGAGATATAGCTGCCCAGATAGAAAAACTTGCCTACTTTCTCTACAACTTCCCTGATCAGGGTGAGGCTGAAGACTGGGCCAACCCAATCTTGGAGCAGCATTTTAGACTTTTAAGGAGCAAAGTGAATGCCGAACATTACTACACTAACACTCAAACTATCCAGAAAAGCTTGCAACTTACCTGGATCTTTACTTAGTAGCACAACGTCGTCTGCATACTCTAGATCAGCCTGCCACCTAGGAGTAAATCGATGCCACTATCCTCGCACGAGGACAGAGCTGTTTCCGTAATTAGATCTATCACGAAGTTAAATAGAAATGGAGAGAGGGCTACCCTGTCCAACACCACTTTCTGTGGTGAATTCGGGTGAAAACGTGCGGTAAGCTCGGACTGGGCTTCGGCCATTATTATAGAGGGATTCCAATATTAAAATAAACTTCTCGGGCACACCCTTCAGGGAAAGGCAGCACCAGAGTTTAGAGCGGTCGACTGAGTCGAAGGCCGCTTTAAGATCCAGGAAAATAGAGATGGTGGGTATACGAAAAGAATGTCGGACCTCCAGAGTTTGGCGAACAGTGAAGATGTGGTTAATACAACCTCGACCAGGTCTGAAACCAGCCTGGTTCTCATGTGTGCACTCTTCACGAGCGGCGGACAATCGATGGAGTATGATCCCGGCGAGAAGTTTAGAGGCAATGTTAATTAAACTAATTCCTCTGTGGTTTTCACAAGAGGACCTGTCGCCCTTCTTGTAAATCGGTATGATGACCGACTCACACCACCCAGTTGGATCCTGTTCCTTTTCCCTTTCCTTTCCTTTTGTTAACTCTAAAACCAAGGCCAGACCTCCATCCTTAAAAACCGATGGGGACAGCCCGTCGGGGCCGGAAGCTTTATACCTTATACCACGGAACTTAATCATAATAGTCGCATTAGAAGCCTTATACGACTACGGTGATTAAGTTCCGTGGTCAGGGTTTGCAAATATGATATATTTTCACACACGTCTGAGTTCAGACTGTGTTAAACAAAGCACGGTAAAAAAAAAGTTCCATCATTTGCTGGAGGGCGCGATACTGCCAAGTTGCTCAGGCCAAATTAGGTGAATTATCTTAGGGAATTCACAACCGGAGCAATTGGATAACCAAAGCCTAACCCGAAAGGCAGCAGGTCGGTGTGAAAACCGCAGTCCGTTGGGGGACGGTGTCCATTTCATCAAATCACACATCCTTTGGGCGGGGTCAAACGTCCAAGGTGTCCCATATTCCTTGATGCCCAATCGAACCGGTGACGACTACCACGACAAGGAGGATATGTGCGTGATTCGTACGCCTCTTCTTGGTTGATTTTGAATCAGAGTCTTCAGCCAACTCCGTTAGGTGAGCTGCCGATGGTTCACCAACCCAGTTATAGCCCTGGATGTCAGCTTTTCGCTCTCTCACTTTGGTGGGAAAACACCTCCGCCACGAGAAGGCAGTGACAAGGGCTTCCTCAGCAGAGGCTATTTGAGACGTTCCGTCGTGTGGGAGCCCAAAGACTTAACCGGTGAGCGGAGTGCTTCAACGAAAAGTTCAGTTGGCCAGGCGCCAACCAGGCTATCCCCTACGACGTAGCTGAGGCTCCGTGGGCAGTGTCATCTGAACCTCCTACTGCAGCGAAGTTCGTTCTTGCACCCAAGCCCCGAAGAAGGGAAAAGCAGCAGAGCCGGACGAGCTTCCTTCCACTCTTTTCAATATGAGGAGCGATGACCTTGTAGACTCCATTTATGATGTAATGCATAACATCTGGTCACACGAGCGCATTCCATCATCCTGGAGCGAATCACTGATCGTTCCAATTTTTAAGAAGGGATCTCGCAACAACTACGCAAACCACCGTGGAATAAGTTTGATCTCAATCGTCACTAAGCCACTAGCCTCCATCATACTTCGACGTCTGACACCGTTTGAGGAAACGATTATCCGTGAACAAGCAGGATTTCGACCAAACCGCGGGTATGTTGATCAAATCTTTACTCTGAGTCAAGTCCTCGAGCTACACCATACGCACCATCGACCAAGTGTTGTC